ATATTTTTTGTATAAAAATTTGAATAGAAAGCCGAAGTTTTGAAAACAACTCTAGGATGGACAAACTTTTAATAAAAAAGTTTTTCTAAGAGCAACTTTTGAGGCATTTTTGAAAATTTCATTATTTACGGCAAAATGTTCAGTTTGATGTTAATATATGATTATAAAAATCATTTCAAACGATAGTGCTCATATCGATAAACTTCCTAAATATAACTGTTTTGGAAATATTTCAAATTTACTTTCATCAAAATCATTTTTTTTGTAGAAAATAAGCCATTTCCATAAGTTAATCGTGATTCTCCATCAGCATTGATAAGTTTAGCAAGATACACATATATTTACCTTCAATTTGTCTTTTGACGATTGAACGATCAGACAACCCGTTTAGAATTTACAGGGGAAATGAAAACACTATTATTTTAAATATAGAAACCAACACATGTTAAGTTGCACTTATTTTCATTATCAAGCGTAGTTTCATCCTATTTAAGTTGGTAATATTGATGTACCTATCCATCTTATTATTTTAAACGCTGTCCAGACTGGAGAGTTATAACATGTTATAACGGTTGTCAACTAATTGCAACACAGAAACCACCATCAAGATAGCGCTATAACATGTTATAACTCTGTAGTCTGAACGTACTATTAGGTACATTATAATGTCTTCCATGGCCATGTATAAAGTAGTGTGCAAAAACACATAGGCCCTTTTCAAAAATTATCCTTGAGTCAAAAGGGTCTCCTCTCCTGCGGAAAATACTTGGTCTATCATACTGAAAACTTGGGCAAAGTATCATCCAAATCGAAGATGGTCGAGCACGATTTCAGGTTTTTTCAGCTCATTCTGGATGGAATCCCTCTTGTTGGTTATATGCTAAAGTTATTAACGAAAAAGAAAGTCGACAAACAGAATCGATCAATGTTACTTAGGACCTAATGCAATGTTCAGCTTGATATCGTATCGATATCATATCGTATATCGTACAACTCGCAGTCTCCTTTTTGGCGTAATCTAGATAAACAATTCAAAATGTCCTATCTGTATTGATCGATTCTCTTCATCGCATAATTCGACTACAACTTAGGTGTCAGGGAAGACACCAACCGCTTTTCAGTAAATAACTACTTCATTCGAGCATTTTAAATGACGTTTACTACCACTAGAACTTTGAAATAAAACATTATTTTGTAGCCAACATTTGTGCGTTTCGTACAAAAAATAGAATTGAGATGGTCCAGTTTTGTGAAACCGCTGGTAGAAAGTCACGCCAAAACTGCTTGACTTACTTACCTTACCAATCAGGCTACGGCCTTGTTGTCATCTGCTGTCCGAAGAAGTCGTCTCCACTACTCGATCCATGGCCACACCTCGCCAGCCTCGTAGTCTGCGAAGGGTCCGCAGGTAGCCTTCTACTTGGTCGATCCACCTTGCCCGCTGCGCGCCTCTTCTTCTTGTTCCTGTTGGGTCGCTTTCTACAACCATTTTCACTGGGTCGTCGTGTGGCATTCTTACGACGTGCCCAGCCCACCGTAATCGCCCAATTTTTGCAATGTGGACGATGGATGGTTCTCCCAGCAGCTAGTGCTATTCGTGGTTCATTCGCCTCCTCCACGTTCCGTCATCCATCTGCACTCCACCGTAGATGGTACGCAACACCTTCCATTCGAAAACACGTTGGTCCTCCACGAGCATAGTCTAGGTATCATAGCCGTAGAGACCACCAGCGTCTTGTAGACAGTCAACTTCGTGCGGCGGCGAATTTTATTCGACCGGAGCGTCATCCGGAGTCCAAAGTAGGCACGATTCCCTGCCATAATGCGTCTTTGAATTTCTCTGCTGGTATCATTTTCGGCGGCCACCAGTGAGCCCAAATACACGAACTCATCGACCATCTCGATTTCGTCACCACCAATTTGAACTCGGGATGGGAGGCTAACATTATCTTCCTGCTTGACAAAGTGGTCAAATCATCGCGATCGCGAGTCATACTCGCTTCGGTGATAACTCTCCCAATTTCAACACCGCTACTGGGAATGTATACTCGATATTCCATCGAAAAAAGCTCAAAAGTAACAATCCTGTCTGCCTGCACACATTCTAATAAGAAATACCATAAACGAACTCTATACCGGATAGGTAAACTATCAAAAAAAAAAAAAAATTTTTCCTTTGGTTTGTTTTTTCCGTCGATCTTGTTTTCCGTGCTGATTATCAATGCTACCGACGTGCCAGGAAGGCAGCTCCCACACGCCACACCTGGACCCTACCTATCGACCCATCAACTCATGAACCGGGGACCAACGGCTTTACTTCCCATCCGAAGGAAGGCGTGATCAGAGATGTTATGCCTCAGAACATCCCGGCGGCGCCGACTGGAATTGAACCCAGGCCTGCTGGGGTGAGAGGTAATCACGCTTACCACTACACCACCGGCGCCTATCCCACAAATGGTTTGGATGATACCCCGAAAACCTCGTTAAGCTCTCTTTTATGGTTATTTTTTTTTATCAGGGCGGTCATAAACGGTAAGGCGCAGTTTGTTTGGCGTCACCTTCATAACCTCTGTCACAGCCGAAAATTGTTTTACTAGATCCTTTGAAATCTGATCAACATTCAAAGATTTTTGCGCAGGAAGAAAGCAAGCCTATCGAGTCTTATGGGTAAGCCTAGAGAGGGTCTAGTATAAGAGAGAAGCGAATTCAAAACAAACTGCTTTTGCAACCTATGCCTACACGGATAGAAATCTCCTTGTACACGAAACGAAAATCAATTATTTTATTCATGTGTTTCACTCATACATTTTTGCCAAAACATCAGCCTTATACATTCCATAAGACAAACCACATAGGTCCCATAAAATGCATAAAAGGTATGTGTGACCGCTTATACATTTCATTTGACACATGATCTTCATTATCTTTTTGCAAGGCGTCTGCTTATTAGTTGACTTATACATTTTATGAATAATCAGCAATAGAAATTTGCCAAAAGGTATAAGGAGATTTCTATCCGTGTAGGTGATTTCTAGCAACACTGCCAATGCAATCAATACACGGTAACCGCAAAATACCCAATAATGATTACAAAGTAAGCATTTTCGAGGGAAACTGGGACTACCCATTAAATGAGTAAAATTTTACCCATTTATGAGTAATTACAACTACAAAAATAAGTAGTAAGTATTCATTTGTGAGTAACAAATACTCATAAATGGGTAATCTTTTTACTCATTTAATGGGTAGTCCCAGTCTCCCTCGAAAATGCTTACTTTGTAATCATTATTGGGTATTTTGCGGTTACCGTGTATAGGTGGTGCTCGATTGGCTCTGGCTTTGACAGATTAAAACCTTTTAAAACCAGCCAGTCCGCTATATAGTCGCTATATTCATAGTCTGGCGGATAGTAATTCGATCTATCAAAAAGCGGAACCAATTCAATATAGTGTAGACCAACAATTGAAAAGGTACTATCAACTTTGATAAAAAAAAAACATGATTATTCTTTCCACGCCTATCGATCGCAAATTACCAGCATCCCCGGATAGGGGAAACTTTGCTCAACCCAAAGATGATGTTAGTTTGCGTAGGCGAACCTTGAGTCACGAGAAAAGGGTTTACGAAGTTTTGTTCGCAATAGCTGATGTGCTCAGTTCTATTGTTGGTCGTGATTTGCTCGATTGGTTCCGTTATTTGACAGCTCAATTGGTTCCCGAGATTCTATCCGCCAGACTATGAATCAAGCGACTAGTCTGCTCCTCTCTTATACTAGACCCTCTCTAGGTAAGCCTTACCTAAGCAGCACGTGTTCTATAACAGTTTATATAATCTTTGTATGACTGGCTTTGGTTGTAAAGAAGATTACTCATCATAATTCTAAGAATTTGCTTTACTTGGGTAGGAGGTAAAGTGGTCGGTGGGGAGATTGTTCAACCTTAGGATACGCTCCAGTGTACTTTCTGGTGGCCGAACCATCACCACCAGAGGTATCTATTGCCTTAAAAGGAAGTAGAGTTTTCAGATGATCAGCGCCTAACTATCAATTCTGGCTATCATTCGAATTTTATGTAATATGGTCGTATCATCTATCATATCGATAGTGTGTGGTACCCGTTTATTAAGGCCGCTATCATCTAAAATTAGCGTTCATTTGGATGAAGAGAATATAATATCATTGCAATTTGGCTTGTATGATACATTCATTCGGGAAACTCACATACCACCGCATCAGATTTGCCTCAACACAGGAAGAGGGAAACGAAAAAAAAACAAGACAAACACGAAACCCGAAGAAACGAAAATCTTGTCCAGTCCAAGGGTCTTGAAATTTGTTCAAGGTCCACAATCTTATTATCAGAGCCCGATTTCCGAACGCTCTTGCAGCAGCTCAAGTCATATCTATCGAAGAACATAACAGCAGGATATTCTAAAACAATCTACATGTCCAGAATAGGAATTATTAGTTTCTGATTCTGTAATTGATTATAAAAAATAAAGAAGTTCAGTCAAACAGAGCCAAGCCAGAAGCTCGGAACAAAACGGTAGAACGGAATATGTAATAATAACTACCATCCTATTGTTGCCGTTGCGTCGTCCGTCACCTGACAACAGTGTTTTTATTAAATTACTCCCGGCATGAAATGCTACGTTATCTATTCGTTTAGCGAGTTGGTTATTACAGTAATGACCCGATTTTGTTAGCCCCTCCGCGCACCAGACTTTTATCTTTCCAGACCGTAATTTCAAATCTTGCTCATTCATCTTCAAGATGGTCGTTTAAGGTATGCTTTGGTGCAATAAGTAATGCAACATTAGAAAAGATTACAAAAAATGCGGCTGACAAAATCAGATCATTCTTGTACTTTGTTCACCTACTTCAAATCGAAAATAAAGAATGATGTAATCCCCGTTCGCACTTTTTAATCCGCTAACGATTTTGTTTTCCACCGAAGCATGTGTCTCATTAAACGACCAATTCCCGTGTTCTATTTCCGCAGTGGTTCCACGCAACTTCCGACTCCTGGAAGAGCTAGAAGCAGGACAGAAGGGCGTAGGCGATGGCACCATTTCCTGGGGGCTGGAAAACGATGACGATATGACACTCACTCACTGGACTGGCATGATCATTGGCCCGCCAAGGGTAAGTTGATTCGAATGTTGTTGATGCTCGTTGTCTTCAGTTCCATCTCTCTATAGACACCATACGAAAATAGAATGTACTCGTTGAAAATAGAATGCGGCGAACGCTATCCAGACGAACCGCCAACGCTAAAGTTTTTGTCAAAGATTAACATTAACTGCATTAATAGTCAAAACGGAGTGGTAAGTAGTGCCTAGCAATCAGATTTTTCCTCGTCATTGGATGAAATGCTAACAGCGTCCTTTCATTGTAGGTTGAACACCGGATGGTTCCCGTGCTGAGCAGATGGAACCGTGACTACACTATTAAGACAATTCTTCAGGAGATCCGTAGGATTATGACGTTAAAGGAAAACCTAAAGTTAACACAGCCACCAGAAGGAAGCTGCTTCTAGTGGCCTTAAGAACCGAGGGAAAGGAAGAAAGGCAAAACCCGAACGGAAGAAGTTACATCGTGAAAATCTACTCTTGCTGCTGGTTGATATTTTTGCATCGTCGTCGTCTTCGTCATCATCATCATCGTTTCTGTGCGTGAACGACGCTGTCTATTGCTCCTGTAGAACACCCCCCCTACAAAACCACCCAACACCCAGCTGCAGAGAAAAAGCAACAATCGGAACAAAAGGAATATACTGCTATTACTACTTCTACTCTTCAACTTCCGCTCTACTGTTGCGGCCATCGCTATCATTGTTGCTGCTGTTCTTCAACCTTCCTTTTGGTTTTGTTGATTTATGATTAAAAAGAGAAAATCTTACAAAAATATAAACCATGAGCAGCAAGAACAAATCTCCTTACTACAAGTCACTACAAAGCACTACACATAAACACACAGATGAAAAATCCTAGATATCCTTTATAGAACTAGAGGGAGCAACGCAAGACGAAGAAGAATCTGTTGATAAGGGGTTTGAGAGAAAAAAAAAAGGATTGCTTATCTATATTTGCGGTAATTAAATGCTAAATGGTAAACTACACTCCATGCAGTTCGAATTTTGACGAGCGTTCTAAATATGATGAAGGAAACTTAAGAAAATGATGAAACAGTTTAGCATTAACACTGCTGATGAACGAAGAGAAGGAAACAATAAAAGCGGATACTATTCTCCAAAAATCGGCCGGGAAGTTACTTTACTTTGACTGGGAAAATAAGAATCCATTCTACTTCATCACGTGGTACCAAAATAATCCAATATTAAATCGACAGAAAAGATCACTACACTATTTTGTTGTTGGTGGAAAGAAATGTACCTAAACATTTCGTTTGCCTACATTAAGGGGTTTCGTTCATATAAAGGCCGAGCACGTTTCGCGCGGAAGTGCGGTATAAAAGTATTGGAACAAGCTGCGATGCATTTCCTGCTACATAAATCATTTCCAGCCAGTAGAAAAACAAACAAGTTACAAAGATTTAAATAAATTGCTGCTTTAACTAGAAAGTTGAAATTTAAGCGAGTAATTAAAATTATCCACAACTATATCATCTAGGTGCAGCATAGTCCGTAATATACTTTGAGCAAGTGGCAGTTTTCTAGGGGAACCAACGCACCCACGTTCTCTTACAATATCCCAGCTTTTACTCTCTCTGTAACGGTAGTTGTTGTAGAAGAAAGAATCAACTGATAATTCAAGTCCTTTACCATACACTACCGGATTGATGCTGCAGTGATTAAATCTGAGAAGAAGAAACCCACACTGAGATAAAACGAAATCAAGCTTTTGTTCTTTTAAAAACAGCATAACAAAACAAAGTAAAAGGTGAAAAATAAACTATTTTAGCTGTTTTTTAATCCGAATTTTCCGATCGCATGAGTAAATTACGCCAAATAATGTGTCTGAACTATCGTTGGCAATCCTCGCAAAAATTTCATAAGAATCATCCTAGAATTCCTTAAAATCTATTTTCAAGCTTTGCCTGAGGCCTAAATGATGTTGGAATTCTGTCTGGTTATAATGCTATATATAATAATCTAATGATCTACTTATTCCCTTCAGAAAGTGATTAGAATCCGTTCGCAATTCATTTTGAATTCTTAATAATTTACACTAGAAATTTTCGCCATAATGCTCTTCGAATTCTCTTAAAAAATGGTTTAAGACATCTCAAAATTTGCTTGCAGTTCATCTCAGATCCCCTTGTTTTCTGCTCAGGATTATCTTGGAATGTTTCTCAAAATTCTCCTGAAAATACCATTGAAATTTGCCATTAGTATTAACTTGAAATACTTCCAGAAATACCAAACGCTCCGAGTTACTATGTGTAGTTGTGTGTAATGTGTAAATGTTTGTACAATATTGAAGAATCATAAAATCTAGAGTAACATTTGGAATGGGCCTATGTCCAAAACGTAAACAAACCGGAAAATGAATTTAAAATTTTTCCGCCACTATTCAATTCATATTTAAGAAAATTGAAGTATTTTAGGCATTTATATTGTTCACAATAACAATAGTAACTGTATCTCTGCATACAGCATCCAAAATATTGAAGAATCGTAAAATAATGCAATGGAAGGATCTTACTGAATTTTTTCCTATATTGGTAATGATTATTTTGCGCTTAAAAGTTTCGTTGGAAGAAAAAACCCGGTTTGTTCACTCGCGGTAATCTTAAAAACTCTTTCGACCCTAAGTTTTTTTAAATAAGCAAACAGCACTAATAAACACACGCGAAATTATTGAAAAAGTTTTCAGGTGTCCAAAATGCATCAGCTAAAGGACTTATTGCACTAAATGTTCAATAAACATCGTTCTCCATGATACTAGATTCCCTTTCACAGATTTCAGAGTAGAGTACCTAACTTTAGATTGACCCCGCCTTTAGAAAATGAGCACCAATCATGTTAGGCAGTCCAAGTGACCGAAGTAACAACCATGTACCCATCATTTCAAACTATACATTGGACAATTTTTGTCTTATGAAAGTAAATTTGGATGGGTGTTTTTGTATCACATACAATGATAGATACCAACCGGTGGAAACTAACGATTTTAAATTGGCTCGATTGGCTCACTACTTGACTAGCCTATTGGTCCCAAGCAAATCGATTAACGTTCCCTTACTTTAGTCGAAATTCTAGTACTACACAATGTTTGTTTTGATTCGCTATGAAAGTTTGACAGATAGAAAGAGGGGTTAATGGATTTTCCCGAGACACATTTAAATCTCAAGTTTAGATGCTCAACAAATCTCACACTAGCGAATCAATCTTCGAAAAACCTTCTTTCATTTGGCGCATCTACTTGCATCGTGCATCATCTTTTTGCAGGAAATCTTCAGAATCGTCATCAATCTTCTTTCTGTCTACTCAGCGTGCGCGCAGCTAGCCACAGCAAAACACAATCTTTTCTGCATCGTAGATAGAGTCGTCCCCCTCGGATTTTTCTATGTTTCGAGGGGTGAATCGATTAGCTTGGGACAGAGCTTAGCCAAAAAGTTGAGCACGTTTCTTCGGGACCTACTAGTCTTATTCCCCGTTCACATTACAGCCTATCCTGTAAAAAAAAGAACCGTAGAGGTACAATGAAATGTGTTGTAACCATACAATAGAGTTTATTGTATTTACAATAAATCTTATTCTCCACAAAGATAAAATCGACAGTGAGCATGCATAAGGGCCTATACGCGATGATCGATTCTCTTCGTCGATTTTCTCTTTTGTTAATAACTCGCTAGATTTAACGTTTCTCGGTGCGTTTGCTGTTGCTTTTGTAAGCAAACTTACCCACATAAACTTTCTCACAGTACAATCTTTCTCATAAAGCCTACATTTCATAACACATCGTAAATTTCCTAACACATCCTTTAAACTCAACCATTTCCCACCAGAACATCAAGTCCATGTTCCCATCCTAATTACAACATATTAACCCGTACCCACGGACAGTTCCAATCATTCATACAAAGCAATAAACCTCAAGTAGCACAACAGCACTTGAAACTAAGAACTGAAGAACATGCAAAAAGTGTCCTATTACCACACCGCTAACACAGTTCCATTCTCGAGAAATGCATAGCGCAAGCGACTATGACAAGTCACTCGCGCTAGGGCACTCACTCTCTCTATGTTTACATTCTCTATCTTTCTATCATCCCCTCCATGCACCATCCATCTAAATGCTAGAATCGATTATGTACCGATCAGAATGCTAACTTCTGATTGGTTAACATTTTACCGAATGCTAATCCACGTTCCTCAATACATAGATTTAAGATACTCGTTGTAACTGATATAAAACTAAAACCGAAATAAATCGACGGCCAATTCTGGATTTCTTTTCAAACCTAAAAGGTATGAGATTTATTTATACGAAACAAGCCTTCTCCGTACACTTTTGATAGCCAATACAACCTGTTACTACTCTGCATTGAACAAATTCTAGAAAATTGTTTCGCTTAGGTGTAGCAATGCAAAGAGAAAATCGATGAAGAGAATCGATCATCGCGTACTCGCCCTTATGCATGCTCACTGTCGAAATAACAATAGAATGTATTGTGTCCACAACAGAATCTATGGTAAATGGGGTAATATACAATGGAACAAGGGGGTCGTTATGTATCTTAACCTCGATCTTAACCATACGAAAAATCACCTTTTCCCGAACAAACTTGAGCCATTTACCATTAATTGAATTGTTGTTCTCTCGGTTGTTCTATTGTTGAAAACTCTTACTAAATAGTACGTATTATACATCTAATGTAATAACAATATGCTAAAATTTCGTGTACTATATACGCACAATAAGATCGATTGTGGCCAATAGGTTTGCTTGTAATTGTATTTTATGTTATGGTAATTGTATGGTTATTTTTATCCGGGATATCACGTAATATAGGCTGTCTTGCAATGAGCACTCATACATAGGATTTCCAGTGAAAACTAGATGTATGAGTGCTCATTGCAAGACAGCGTATATCACGTGATATACCAACAATCAATACGAAACTAACGATTTTAAATTGGCTCACCACTTTAGTAGCCTATTGGTCCCAAGCAAACGACTAACGTACCCTATTCTAGTTGAAATTCTATTACTACACTATGTTTGTTTTGATTCGCTATGAAAGTTTGACAGATAACATCAGGGGTGTGTGGATTCATGCAGAACATGCAGGGGTGAGTGAAATAGCTTGGGACTGCTTGGGACCGTTGTTCTGGTACTGAGTGAGCCAAAAATAATAATGATTTGCTTCGGGACCCAGTGGTCTTAGAGTTACCTCTATGGATATACGCTGTAATGTGAACGGGGTATTAGCAACAATCAATACGAAACTAAGTGTAGTAATAGAATATCAACTAGAATAGGGTACGTTAATCGTTTGCTTGGGACCAATAGGCTACTAAAGTGGTGAGCCAATTTAAAATCGTTAGTTTCGTATTGATTGTTGTTATAGCGCTTTCTTGATGGTGGTTTCTGTGTTGCAATTATTTGATAACATGTTATAACTGCTCAGTCTGGCCAGCGTTTAAGACTAGACGGTCCCGAAATAACGTGCTCAACTTTTTGGCTCAGCTCTGGTACCAACAATCAATACGAAACTAACAATTTTAAATTGGCTCACTACTTGACCAGCCTATTAGCAACAATCAATACGAAACTAACGATTTTAAATTGGCTCACCACTTTAGTAGCCTATTGGTCCCAAGCAAACGATTAACGTACCCTATTCTAGTCGAAATTCTAGTACTACGCAATTTTTTTTTTGATTCGCTATGAAAGTTTGACAGATAAAATGAGGGGTTATTGGTTTTTCCTATGTTTCGAGGGGTGGTTCGACAAGCTTGGGACCGAAGATAGTACCAACAATCAATACGAAACTAACGATTTTAAATTGGCTCACCACTTTAGTAGCCTATTGGTCCCAAGCAAACGATTAACGTACCCTATTCTAGTCAAAATTCTAGTACTACGCAATGTTTGTTTTGATTCGCTATGAAAGTTTGACAGATAAAATGAGGGGTTATTGATTTTTCCTATGTTTCGAGGGGTGAATCGATTAGCTTGGGACCGAAGAGAGTACCAGAGCTGAGCCAAAAAGTTGAGCACGTTATTTCGGGACCTTCTAGTCTTAGAGTTACCTCTATGATAGTACCAGAGGTGAGCCAAAAATTTGAGCACGTTTCTTCGGGACCTACTTGTCTTAGAGTTACCTCTATGCTATTAGGGGGAGGTAGCTCATCGATTCTTCCGGTTCGCCTCCTAGCATCGTGCTATAAGGTACCAGGCGATAACCAGGGTAGTTGATCGATAGCTCGATGACGTCATTTCGTTGGCGTCTGCAATGGGAAATTCTCATAGCAGGCGTTGACGATGGGACGTTGTCGAGTTGTTGAATAGCAACTATCGTGGTAACTCACCGATTATCTGTCGATCTGCCAAATTTGGAAAGACGTCTGCATTGAATTGTCTCATATAATAATATTCCGCCCACTATATCACAAGAAATTGCGAGTAGCTGAGTGGAATGGAGATAAGTTAAGCATTGGGTACAGGACCAAGTCTCCCCTGGGTGGTGCCAAAAGATGAGCGCAATAGAATCATCAAGTTGCCATAAGGCACGAAATGAGACTATTGCATGGCTGGGTAGTCAAAGTCTTCCATTCGTTAGTCATTTCAGGTGGATTAGAACAGGTTTAGGTTTAGGGTGGGCGTTGGCCAGATTTGGATTTTTCAGATGTAATCTTGGATAGGACCCTGTCATTGAACGTCGCGTGAAAGGGGAACTTAATGAAGGCCTAAGTACTTTTTCGTAGTTTTTAGTTTTCGGATTTGAAAGATCGTCGGTTACAGTGGCCTGCTTACTGAGCAGAAAAACGCGGTCCCAGGTCCTTACATATCAAAGAGATTTATGGTAAAATCGCTTGTGCATCGTGTATTTTGCGAAACTCGTTGTTGTCGTTGGTTCCGGGTTTGAATGGATACACAAATTTGAGCAACGGTATTATGTGATATGAGGGGCTCGGTGGCCTTAGAGCAACCGTTTTTGCTTACTGAGCAGAACATAATGAGACTAATCTCAGGCCCATCCACATTCAAGATTCGTCAATCGTTTTATTTGTTAATATGACTACATGGTAATAACAGCAACTCGGTGATTAAAAAGGTGCTCGTCTGCCTAGTGGCAAACGTTTTTGCTTACTGAGCAGAAGACCGTGGGTTTAGTCCCAAGCTCCTTCGCGTTATATGATCGTTAGGACATCAATTCAGCTTATCGTTTTACCAAAACGAACCCTGCTGCAAACCCAACCCTCTTATCCAACATCCCAGTGATTCCTCGTGGAAGTGCAGAGGTGTTCTCGGCTTCCATCAAAGCGAGTGTCATGTCAACACAATCCTTGCCATTCCTTTCTTGACCTGTGTTCGGGCGCGGCCGGCGCTGGTATTGCCTAATTTAAGATCACCAGTTTTTACACATTGAGGATGATTGCTAGTCCCAAGCATCGTCTATTGGTTCTCTGTGTAATTACAGCTGATCTGGCAGTAACAGAGTAGCAACCGTAGGCGGTCAATCAAGCTCAAGCTCTATAGTAAGCTATGATCTATCATAGCATGATCTATTGATAATCTATCAATTACTTTAAAACAAATTTCAACAACTGAGTGAAAAGTTATTAACAAATGAGCAGTTGGTGTGTACAATTGTGTATGCCAAGCATGGTCTAATGGCCAGTGTCCATTTTTGCCACCAGCTTTCCTATTCAAATGTCCGCTCTACAGTGAATCACGTTACTTCCGACATTTTCCGAAAAACTTTCACTCAGAAGGCCAGGTTAGTCAGGAAGTATTCTGGAGATCTTCAAACCATTAACGGAGTACTTTTTACAATATAAAAACGTTTGGCGAATCCAGTCCCCCCGACAGATTGCCAACAATCTAAACGGTGAAAATTTCTTTCCAAATAAAAAGTAAGAGTACGATCTTCGCGTGATTGAATTTATACTAACAACACTTCGCTTTATTTGCGTTCCTGGTTTCCTTATCGGGCTACATATTTCCGGTCGTTGTTTCTCCCTCCCTCGCATGTCCCGTCTGTCTGCATGCGTTTCTGGTTTGAAAATTTAATTTCCAGCAGTATCAATTGATGGTAGTGATTAACTCTCGATAAAATTGTACAATAATCATATTAGCAGCATAATTTGTTTTTGGTTTCCTCTATCATTGAATGAAAGTTCAATAGATGTTGTTGCAGCTGTTTCAGCTATTGCATTCTTCCAACGATTGTTGTTCTTGCCTGCTTGTTTGCTATACGTCACTTCAGCACCCCTCGAATCGCCCGTACCTGTACTTACGGTTATTTACTTTTGTTTAGGATAGAAAGAAATCTTCCTAGTCTTGAGGGCAGCCCACTTGTGTCGTTTAATGTAGTACACAAGCGTACCAAGAACCAGAATGATGCCGAGCGATTTGATGCCCATGCGTTTGCGCTCATCGTGGCACGGATCGGCGGACCATACCAAGAAAGTGGACACATCCTTGGCCAGCTGACTGGCAGAGGCCGGTGTTCCGTCGGTGTATTCCGCGGACTGCAAGGATCAATGATAGATTTAGACACGAACGACCTACAAAAAGGTTTCCGAGTGAATGTTGCTTACCTCATTGTACAGAGCCTGGGCCATCGAGATGGCACCTCCCGGGAAGTAGGGATTGTAATACTGGCCATCACGCAGAACAACGCCGGCTGGAGCGTCGCAGTAGCCAGTCAACAGCGCGAACAAATAGTCCTCTCCACCGTGACGAGCCAACGCGATGTAACTCAGATCGGGTGGGTAAGAACCGTTGTTGGCAGCACGGGCCGCTTCCTCATTCGGGTATGGGCTAGGGAAGTAATCGGACAGTTTGCCCGGCCGCATGAAGTAAGCGCCGGTATCATCGGGACCGTCGCGAACCTAAAATGAAAAAAATAAAAAAAATATCGATTTACAAACAACCGAACACCACGCTGATCCCACCATAAAAACTCACTTGAACATCGGCAGCTTCAGCCTTGGCTTCGGCTTCGGTATGCGAAACGCCAATCAGGTTACGATAGGCAATGAAACGCATCGAGTGGCAAGCGGCACAAACTTGCTTGTACACCTCGTAGCCACGTCGTATCGAAGCATGGTCCAGGGATTCGAACGCACCCTTATGGTTCCATGGCAGCTCTGGAGGGTGCACCTCGGTTCCCGAAGCGGACACCGACTGTTCCAAGGCGTAGAGCAGGGCACCGGCTCCACCTACTGCAATTCCGGCAACGGTCGCTAGCTGTGGGAACCGAAAAAATATGTTTACCGTTGTTCCGAATCACTGTTTTCGTTCTCTTACCTTCTGACTTCTCGTCCAGGGTCGGCTTGTTGAGAATTGTTGTACCTGCAAAGGAAGTACAAGATTCGATTATCAAAAAAAAAACCAACAGATTAACCCAGCACAAATGAATCTGATGAAGAGCGAGACGGAACCTAACGTCTAGGACTAGTGCCAAAGTCAAACTTTTGGTTACATAACCCCAGTAGGAAAAACAGAACTTCTCGGTCAAATATTACTTGTTTTGGTCCAAACTATCACAGCACGTAAGATTCAAATCAAGAACCGGATTCAGATGTCCACAGAAACAAAGATTTCCAGCTTGTATCATCGAAAACGGCAGCTTCACAGCTGATTTCCACAGCCTCGAATTTTTCCTCGTAACTTTTTTTTTCTTTACACTGAACTCACTGTCTGATTACACAACTAGGGCTAGGCACCGAAAGAACACCCCCAAAACGTCCGCAGAGGTTATTCCGCATCGCTCTCCACTTGATCCCGCAGTTCCGGAACCGCTCCGAAGCAGCTTTGATACCGACCTTTTGCAAGGTAATCCCATTTTTCGTATTTAACAGGCCGGATCCACAAATTCTTCCTACGAAAGCCGCCATGATGGACTGCGATGGGGAAAAGTGAAGGATCTCTGCTTCTCGCTGATGGTCGTCGTGATGTCGTTTTTCGCACTTTTCTTCTTCGACTTTTGACAGCGCTACTTCGTGGAAACCTTGACGGCTGTCAATACTATCGATTCTCGCTCTGAATACTGTGAATTTCACTGTGAAGCATCAAACGTGGTTTTTTGAAGGATAGATCTACCAAGATAAATATAAAAAAAAATAAGGGCAACATGTCAAAGGGGTCTAAATCGAAACGTACACAATGAACGTTGATTTCTCGTGATTAATAAATAATACACCCATTGATTTATCGACGCAAGACTTCACTAATGCAACATAGCTAGTGTAGTCGTATAAAATTGATTTGTTTATTATTTTCAACCACAAAATCAGCTGTCAAAGTGTTCGACTTAACAGCGGCTGTTTTTTTTTTTATTTTCAACCAGTAAAAAACATGCACACTTAGAAAATATTACCGAACTCGGTTTGATTTCAACCGAGTTTTTATATGCTGAACGCTCGGTAGTCTGTTCGGTTCAAAGAGGAATAACCGAGCTGTCGTTAGTTCTTATTGTTACCCACAATCTGTCGAAGTTACCGAAAATCTCGGATGACGAAAAATAAATTTAAGCACAGGGCCCCGCCTTTGGAAAATGAGCACCAATCATATTAGGCAGTCCGAATGACCGAAGTAACAATCATGTACCCATCATTTCAAACTGTACATTGGGCAATTTTTGATCAATGATTATCTTAAATAAATGAAAGTAAATTTGGATGGATGTTTTTGTATCACATACAATGATAGAAGAGCAATAGTTTGTATCGCTTAACTCGATTTGTTTACATTTGTTAGTTAGAACCTTTTGAAAAGTGACGTGAGATTTATGAGTCAAATTAATAGTATGTGTGGTTACACATAGCTTTTATGTGTACACATATTAAGTATATGTGTCCGATATAATTTCAAGCTGAACATTGCATTAGGTCTTAAGTAACATTGACAGATTCTCTTCGTCGACTTTCTTTTTGTATCCTCACGAGCATGCAAAGACATTCCCAGATATTTTCAGCACACAGATCGATAAAAGCAGCTTTTATCTAGCATCTAATATGACAAACACATCATCAAACAGTTATGTGCTCAAGTTATTAGCGAAAGAGCAAGTCGACGAAGAGAATCGATCAATGTTACTTAGGACCTTGCAATGGTCAGCTTTATTTGTTGATCACATTGCAAAAATGCATGTGTGGGATACATAAAAAACAATATATGAAATTTTATCAGGGCATATTATGTACATATATATCCGACACATGGATATCATTTGTTGATCATACTGCAAAAATTCATATGTGGTACACATAAAAACAAGACGTTCGTGTTATAACTCTCCAGTCTGGACAGCGTTTTATAGTACGTTCAGACTACAGAGTTATAACATGTTATAGCGCTATCTTGATGGTGGTTTCTGTGTTGCAATTATTTAACAACCGTTATAACATGTTATAACCAAAGATGAATACTAAAACGCTGTCCAGACTGGAGAGTTATAACATGTTATAACGGTTGTCAAATAAATGCAACACAGAAACCACCATCAAAATAGCGCTATAACGTGTTATAACCATAGAGGTAACTCTAAGACCACTGGGTCCCGAAGAAAATCATTATTATTTTTGGCTCACTCAGTACCAGAACAACGGTCCCAAGCAGTCCCAAGCTATTTCACTCACCCCTGCATGTTCTACATGAATCCACACACCCCTGATGTTATCTGTCAAACTTTCATAGCTAATCAAAACAAACATAGTGTAGTAATAGAATTTCAACTAGAATAGGGTACGTTAATCGTTTGCTTGGGACCAATAGGCTACTAAAGTGGTGAGCCAATTTAAAATCGTTAGTTTCGTATTGATTGTTGCTAGTAGGTCCCGAAGAAACGTGCTCAACTTTTTGGCTCAGCTCTGGTACTCTCTTCGGTCCCAAGCTAATCGATTCACCCCCCGAAACATAGGAAAATCGAATAACCCCTCATTTTATCTGTCAAACTTTCATAGCAAATCAAAACAAACATAGTGTAGTACTAGAATTTTGACTAGAATGGGGTACGTAATCGATTTGATTGGGACCAATAGGCTAGTCAAGTAGTGAGCCAATTTAAAATCGTAAGTTTTGTATTGATTGTTGGTACTACCATTAAAAAAATTAGTTGTCATTCGTGGGCAATACAGTCCTGGAATCACAAAGCCGTAATCTTCGATGCCACGTGAAGTGAAACTTTTATGGGGCACTGAAACATTTTGAATCTTGTTGCATGATTTGCATGCTGCGAGACAGGTTTTGTGGATGGATATCCGGTATATAATGTTGTTGAATGATGGACGTAGATTTTCCTCGTCAAACGTCTTTGCTTGACAATCGTGGAATACACACAAAACAAACAGGTTGCTATGTCACCGTGCATTGAATATTGAGCAACTCGAGTTACTCAGAGTTACTCAAAATTTACTCCAGTATGACTCATTATCAAAAGCTGTCGTACCCCTAGGTTAATGCTTATATCGGCATGATATAACCGATAGCAAATATTTTACTTTTCGGTTCGTTAATCTCTTAATCGATTATTCGAATGAAAATCGGCCATCACTAGATGAATGTGAAACGTCATTTAAAATATAAGGACCGTACATAAATAATGATACAATTTGAAAGGGACCGGGGCCTCCCTTAGCTCAGTCGGTAAAGGCACAGCTAAAAAGCAAGACCATGCTGGAGGTGGCTGGGTTCGATTCCCGGTCCGGTCTAGGAATTTTTCGGGTTGGAAAATTTCTCGACTTCCCTGGGCATAGAGTATGATTGTACTTGCCACACAATTATACTAATGCAAAAATGGTACAGGCATCGAAAGCTCTCAATTAATAATTGTGGAAGTGCATCTAGAACACTAAGTTGATAGCACGCAATAAGCTAATATGCCATAAGCAATAAGCTTGAAATGCGAGGAAGAAGAAGAAGGGGCTAATCACAAATTACGTCCCCACGGTAACTGAAATAAACACGAGTGTTCACCGGTTGTTATAACTCTTTAGTCTGTACAGCGTTTTAATTAAACATGTTTACTTTTCCTTACTGAAACGCATTTTATGGGTCAAACCAGCTGTCAAATACATTTAAAATGCATCAATGTTCATCCTCGTGTTCACCTGGATCATCTTGACACTTTGAAATGCATAAATTTGACAGATAAATGTCTTTTATCTAAAACTTATTTTTTAGTTAGTGAACTTTCAATTTAAAGACGTTAAAGTTTAAAGTCTTTCAGTTAGTGAACGTCTAATGTACTTGCAGTCAAGCTGGCAGTCTATCGGTTTTTTTTTTCAGATTCCCGCTTCATCTATTGAGTCCGAGCCATGATTACTTCGGCAGTAGTCATGCATGATTAAATTCGTTATAATCTTTCCAGTATTAAATTTTATTCTTTTTAAATATTAATATATAATCAAAAAAGATTAAATTTTATTCAAAAATTATTAAAATAGAATCAACAATGATAAAAATTTATTCAAAAAAGATAGTTTTCAATATAATCAACCATGATTGAACTGGGTTTAATATCAGATGATTATTTTTAAGAAAGAGAGCATTAATTTTTAATCATTCGTTATGATTAAACTGAGTTTAATGTCAAATTGATTAAATTTCAAGCAAAATGGGAATAGTTTAATTTATCAGTGTACGCCGATTAAACGTTGAAAAGCTCTATTTTCAATACGGCAATTTCCCACCTTTATAAAACACCCTAAGCAATCGATACACCCCTCTGCGGTACATGAAACCTTGCCGTGTCAGTGCGGAGGCTGACAGTTGAATCGATCAACCCGGCCACTCGAACGCCATTTTGACTCGTCATCATCATTGAACATCGATCAACGATCATCAACCCCAGACAACGGGCGGGCGAGTGACTCTTCTTTTCCTCGCCGCACAAAAAACCATCGCAGCCAACTTCAGTTGGAAGTTCAGTGCATACGAGTACGGGTTTGTTTTTTCGCTGTTTTCGTACGATTTTACACACTTTTCCAAACTTTGGCGGTTGGAAAAAAGGTCTCTCGATTTATCCGGCTGTTGGTGATTGATTGGGGATTTGGTGAGGTATGGGCTGTGGGTGAATTTCACAGGAAATAGTGCCGTTACGAGTGCTTTCCTGTTTGCTGTAAGAGCAGAGTGCTGGGCTTGAGTGACGACTGGTGGAAAGTCCTTGTGTGAAGTTGCGTTTTTAGCTGTGTGTGTGGATTTTTTTTTGCGTTTTTGAGAAAGGTTGCCAGTTTGTCACATTGAGGTTAATTGGGTTTTGGTTTTGTTAAAACAATCAAACAAAAGTTAGTAAAATTTGAATGCTTTGTACACTCAATAAATAATTATTTTTGACTTCCTAAAATTAGACCTCAAGCCACAAAAATTGAAAAAGAACCCCAGAAATATTGCACGAAGAACAAGATAAACTACTGTATTTTAGAAATGATCAGCAACACTGTTTCTATTTTCCAGCTGTGCGTTCGCCGCTGTCGGACGAGCCGTTTCCTCGTTGCAAACACCATCAGTTGCGATCATCGCATCATCATTACCGTCATCGTCAGCAAGTGTGCTGTGTGGTAGTAAAATCAGCAGACTGCTAGCGGCAGTCGTCCATCTTTGAATCGTCGTAAAAGCAGCCTACTATTCACTGTGTGACTGGCTCTCGTTTTCAATCGCTCGTTCGCGTTCATGTTCGCATTCGTACGCCGTAAAGTGCTGAAGAAGGATCTCGGAGTTTCGGTCGGAGTGAAAGCCTTCGAAATAGAAGTGCGGAGTGTGTGTGTGAAGAAGTGCAGTGTGGATTGAAGGGAAAATTTTCCTACCTTTCTTTTTTTTTTCTCCATTTCGAATGGTCGCAGTTTGTGCGAAATCATCATCGAAGCAGCAAAATAGTACATTACATTAGTTGGATAAAGTTTCCTGCTGAAGAAAAAGATTTCCTGCTACGTGAGCAGCTCGGATTAGCCACCAGCCAAGATGAGCTGCCCTATGCCGGAGATTGGCTCCTGCATATCGCTGATTTCGAAAGCCGACATCCGATATGAGGGCCTGCTGTTTACCGTGGATCCGGACCGCTGTACCATTGCCCTAGCGCGAGGTAAGTGCCTTCGAAAGCTAGCAGTAGAAACCGGATAGTGTCGCGTATTTGTGGTTAGGAAGCTTCCATTTTCCTTGGACACTGTTCCGAGGGGGAGAGACACAGTAAAAAAGCAGCCATTGTTTGACAGCTTCTTTTTCATCATTCGATTATTGCTCCCTCTCGGGTCTTTCTTTTCTTTTTTTTTCCTTCACTACTGTGTGCTACTGAACTTTGCTGGCTGCTAAGGTGGACAACGTCGGTGACGGGTATGGGAGCTGCTGCAAGGAAGGGAGAAGGTATCTAACCTCATTTTCTGTTGGTCGCTTTTTTGCGGAATAAAAAAGAAAAGCGAGTGACGAAACGACGCCTTTTGTGGACGGAAGTTTGTTTTGCAAAGTAGGCCTTTGTTTCTCTTTTTACGTTGTCGGGGTGGTTTTCGTTCGACGAGGACAATCTCTTCGAACTCGTCAATCAGTCGGTCGGTCAGCCAACCAAGCAGCAGCAGCAGCATCAGTCTGGTTGTCGTCGTCGTCGTAGGGGGAGTTTCAATTTGCTGCCCCGAACCTAGTTATCTCCCCATCCGGCGTACCTCACAGACACAGGCGTCGAGTCGGAAGAATAACGATGCATTGGGCTGTAGTTGTGAGAAGTTCGAAATCCTACGGTGCACGGTTGTTGTGTGACGTATTGGATTACATTTTTTTTTGCAAATTGTGCATAAACAATTTTAGTCGATAATCTTATCAAACTTTGTCATTCGACATGTTTGTGCATATAATTGCATTATCAATATCGGGTTTCCAACCGTAGCCTGGTTTAAATAGCTTTTGATTAATCCTAGTGTTGACTGATAATATTACTGATATTACGGTACTGGATATCCACGTTTGTTTTGTCTATGGCTGAACCCTGACGAATAACATTGCGGTGATATGTATATTCTATATGATTAGAGTCATTTATATAGCTATAGTTACTAAAGCAGGATTTCGACTAAAGCAAAGCAAAATGAATAAATACAGAATTTTTGTTAAGATTTATAGTTGCTTCTAGAAATTTGAAGACAAGAATATCCTCCTTGTGACAACCAATTACGAGACAAATCTCGCGTCACTTTTCAAATAGACCTATCTACATTGATCGATTCTCTTCGTCTACTCTTTCTTTGTTTAATAACTTAGCTCCAAAAACATGTTCAGCTGTTCTTATCGTCCAATACGCTCAATAATACTTTATTTTGACAGGCCATGTAGAAAAATTAGCCCTAAATATTAATGCAGCCAAGTTATTAACGAAAGAAAGAGTCGATGAATATAATCGATCAATGATCTATTTGAAAAGTAACACGAGAACTAAGCAGAATTTTCTATACTCATATGTATGGATGAATGAGTGAATGTCAGTTACATATTACATTGAAAGTTTTTCAAAAGTTATTTATTTTGTTAACATCAACATGATGGCTTGCTAGAGTAACAGAAAAGGAAGGTCGAATGAATAAAAAACATATATGCCGGTCATTCACGGTTTACAGCACAGTCAAAAACAAAATTAAGCAAAACGTCGGCGTTGCACCTGTTGTGGCAGCTGGAAGTCGGCTACCGAAGATACTCATTTAAGTACTCGCTGTAAACCGTCGTTCATGCTGTAGTTAGTGCGGCGAAAAGCCAACCCAACAAACAATTTTAGCTGCAGACTAGCGCTTATACAGGCAAAAATTAGCTGCGTGTGCCATTTTTGGCTGTATAAGCTAATCTGCAGCTAAAATTGTTAGTTGGAAATCTCAGCATAACGTTGCTATGGAGCACTTGGAGTTTTTTTTTTCCGCGAAGAACAGAGACTTGCGTAACATTTGAAAAGAGTCTATGAAAAAAATGTGCACACATCGTTGTTTGATACCATTCTATAGCACCGCTAAATAGATACCAATCGTATAGGAATGTTCCGCATTATCGATAAAAAAACATTAAAATAACTTGATTTTTGAAACGGCCGATCAACGAAATTTTTCGTAGGTCCAGATGCTAACATATTTTTCATACTAACATACGTTTCATTATGTGTTTCGGCCTTCTGTTCCTATCCCGTGAAAACACGTATTTTGGTGTGTAGGCATAAAACCAGATTTTTTTAAATAATGCGTTTATTTTTCAAGGCTCATTTGCTGTAGCTTTGCGGAGCCGATATTCATTGTTTAGATCACAGAATTACTTAAAACTAACGTTAGTAAAGCGCGGGCAACAAATTGTAACAAATGGATGCCAGGGTAGGGATTAAGAACACAAGGTTTGGAGAGCAATGTGCTTTTGATCTCGAACTAAGCGACATACTGATGAAAAAGACACACATGGGGTTACACCGATGGGCAGCTAACAACTTGGGAGAACACAAGATGACACTAAACTAGCTACTAAATCCTCCGATCTATTCATTTTAATAACACAAATTAAATTCAAATACATAGTCGAGCTAACCAAGACATCTCTAGCGGGTATCGCGGGTTGTTTTCCTCGGGCCCTGAGGGATGTGGATAACTCAGATCTGGCAACACGGTGTAGAGTACATGACCAAACAACATGCTCGATATCGTGATAATCACTGCCACACGCGCATAAATTGCTGGCTGCCTGAGAGCCCAATTCGATAGAAGTGCGAGTCTAACGAGCAGGAAACCTTGACTTAACGCGTATAAAGTCGCGGCTCATGTCCAACCCTTTGAATCATGGTTTGTTCGACACCTATGGGAGAATAGAATGTAACCATCTTCCCAAATCACCATCATTCCATTTTTGTTGTCAACTGATGAGGACTTGCTGACGAGCAATGGAGAAAAATTCGTTGAAGGCAATTTGTCGTTCAAAAATATCGCCGTCCATAGCGCCCGCCCACCTTAGCCAATGAGTCCGCTTTCTCATTACCCGGAATTGAGCAATGAGATGGGACCCACGCTAAGGTGATGTATAGAAGCAGTTGGATAAAGCACTCAGTTTAGATCGTATTTCTCGCGTAACATTTGAATAGGGCCTATGATCAAAATGTAAACAAACCGATTTTTGATACCATTCTGTAGCACTGGTAATTAGCTACCAGTCGTATAGGAATGTTCCGCATTATCGATAAAAATCATTAAAAATAACTTGATTTTTAAAACGGCCGATCCACGAAATTTTTCCAATCATTCATGCTAAAACGGCCTAACCTCGGGCCTAAAATATATTTTTTTTCGTTCGATGAGGTTCCATTCATAAGCCTAGCGACGTAGAAGGGCCGATGATTGAAAAATTTCAAATCAAAGCTAGGCCCTACTGCTTGAGGCAGGGCCGATGATTTATTTGACGTTAAGAAAAGGCTTAGCAAAGGGCCTACAATTTATGATGACAAGCACAACGGCTTAACAAAAAGGGCCTAACCATTTAAAGATTCACAAAAAGGCTTATTACTGTGATATTAAATTTTTATCGATTTTCATGTATTTTTGAAAACGTTTCGCATGTTTTGGATGTTGTGTACTGAGATATAGTTACTATTGTTATTGTGAACAATATAAATGCCTAAAATACTTCAATTTATTTATATAGGAATTAAATACTGGCGGAAAAATTTACAATTCATTTTCTGGATTGTTTACATTTTGGACATAGGCCCTTTTCAAATGTTACGCGGGATTTCAGGCAGGAAATACGAGGAGTGCTTCATCGGCCTCATTGAGCGAATAGCCTCCAATGAGCTAAGACTATCCTTAAAAATGAAATAATGGTCAGAAGGTAGTGAGGCAATTCACTCTACTGCGTAAAATATTTTATATTTTTGCAGTTTATTTGAGGCGCTATGAAAATGATCCAGTGGAAGCATTTATGGTTGACCCATCTGTGAAAAATTTTTTATCGTTACTTACATGGTGGTACTTGATTGCAAACATTGAGGGAATAACCATCGACCGTATTTCATGGATTTTTTGCATCATGGCCAGATCAAAATTTACAGAGGAACTATAGAAGGCTTGAAAGCAATCACGATTGGAGATTAATGAAGAAGGAAAAACTAGAATGATTAATTTATTACTGTCTATATAAATTGATATATCTAGATAGAGCTGGAATTAGGGCGTAACAGCTTCTGTAAACAATGACTTTTCTCGTAGATTTCTAGGAATTAAAGGCACGCCTACACAAACCGACAAAGCCATTGGGTAAGGGAAGTCCTCCTCTACTCGATGGTGATGTCGATTTGCCAGGGAGAGAGAGAGAGAGAGCCATGCCTTTCGAGAAATCATCGAGAGCAGTAATTGTTCACAAAAGCTGTAGCGCCCTAATTTCAGCTCTATCTACAGTCGTGTTCAATATAATAGCAGCGCATGCCGATTTCCATACAAAATGGTCAACTTTGACAAGTTGTAACTTTGTTCTCTTAAAACCAATTGAGCTGAAACGTTTTTACCTAGTGTCTCACTTCCCGGCCAATGCTTCCAAAAATTTGGTATTTTGTAATCGCAAACATATTTGTAGTTCTGTGGCGAACGTTTCAGCTCAATTGGTTTTAAGAGAACAAAGTTACAACTTGTGTGAAAGTTTGTTTATTTTATTTGTTTATTTGTTATGGTTGCATCAACAGACTAGAAATAGTCCCAATGATGTGTTGTAAAAAAGTACAGATTATACAGACGACATACATATACTACAGTTACTACAGTTACAAACGAAAATAACTTGGAAAGCATTGTCAAGTTACTAAAAATTTATAAGTCCTAAATTTTACACTTAGCTGTTGGGTATCAAGCGCCTTCGGTCAGCAAAAAAGGCAGAGAATCTTCGGCGAAGCATATTCCGTGTCAAGTGGAAATCGAACATCGACGCTACTCGGTTGAACACTCGCTGCAAGCCGTAAATAGCGCTCCCTAAGCTATAATTAGTTCAAAGAAGTGGAAGTCTCAGCATAAGACTGTTGCGTAGTGATCGAGGTTGAACATTAATGTTCACTTGTTGCAGAATTGCTTCGCAGTCAATTCTTCCTTGCAGAGT